GCGGCCAGTCGTGTGTCCAATCAGCACTGACTAGCATCACATCGTACCTGGCTGACGGTAAATGTAACAAGTTGAGTGGATCGGCAAGTTACCGCGCTGCAAGAAAAGCAGACAGTTCGGCGTTCATCCAGACATACTCGGATTTGACGTGTACAACACTCGGATCGTCAATATCTATTTCTGCGAGTGCTGGTGCGTCGAACACGTGTGATTTCGACAGAATAGCGTTTGGTGGAAACACGTCTCCATTCTATCTGACCTCTACAATGAATTATGATTCTCTTGCGAACAGCTGCTCATCAGGGACTCCTTCTTTTGTTTCGATAGCGGTTGGTAATTTTGACAACTGTGCGGTAACTTCCAGTTGTTCAGGAAGTGCTGCTCCATACACGGGAACTAAGTGCAGTTCTGTTTCTTCTTACAAAACCGATCTTGTTACTGCATTTGGTGTGAACCCTTATGTGATTGTAGAGAAGTATACTGCTGGGCAATTTTGTGGTGCTGGTTATCTGTCCAGTATCATGGTGTACCTAGCGGACGGCAAGTGTCACAAGATCAGTGGGTCTAGTTACCGCGCTACGCGGAAGCTCGACGGTACAGCGACCGTTCAGTCTTACTCGGACGGAACTTGTAGCGTTTCTAGCACCTTGTTTTCGGTAAGTGCTGCAGAATCGGCCAATTCTTGCGCATCAAACAGTAATGGTATCGTTGACACCAAAGTATTTGGCGAGAACGCGACTCCGTTGTACTTGACTTCCACGTTAAATTATGATTCAAGTACCTTGAATTGTGTATCCGGAGTTCCATCATTTGTTGAGACGGCGGTTTCAATTGTCGACACAACTTGTACTACTACCTCGAGCTGCACTGGCAGCAGTGCTCCTTTCACGGGTACCAAATGTAGTCTTGTCTCCACATACCAAAGCGACATGGCGGCTGCGTTTGGTTCGACCCCGTATGTGACCATCGAGCAATATAACAACGGACAAGTATGTGCTTCAAAAGAGCTTTCTGGTATCAAGACATATCTGGCAGACGGAAAGTGCCATAAAAGCAGTGGGGCAGCGAGCTACCGTGCCTCAAGGAAGCTGGACAATTCTGCGATCGTCCAAAAATTTACTGATGTCGCGTGTACCGTGGCAGGTACAACGATCACAGTGACAGCGAGCGCGGGTACTCAACACACGTGCGTATCGGACACTAAAGCCTACGGAGTAGGTTCAACTCCTTTATACTTGACATCGACGATGAATTACGATACATCTGCCAATACTTGCAACTCGGGGGTTCCCTCTCAAGTTTCAACGGCAATTTCTGCCTTTGACACCTGTACACCGACCTCAAGTTGTTCGGGGAGTTCTGCGCCGTACACTGGTACCAAATGTAATTCTGTATCTTCTTATCAAGCGGACATGGCAGCTGCATTTGGCGTAAATGCGTATCTTATTGTAGAGAAGTACACGGCTGGACAAGCTTGTGCCGCCGACCAGCTAGCAAGTATCACGACTTACCTGGCAGACGGCAAGTGTCACAAGACTAGTCCAACTACCAGCTATCGTGCGACACGTAATCTTAATGGTGCGGCGACAATCCAACCCTATTTGGATGGAACGTGTACTAACGCAGGATCGTTGATGACCGTGACGGTCGCGCAACTGACTAATTCGTGTGCTTCGGATAGTAACGGATTTGTTGACACTAAAGTCTATGGATTTGGAATGACTCCGCTTTACTTTACATCAACGATGAATTATGATTCAACTGGAAATTCATGCAAGTCACCCGCCATCCCGTCGTTTGTGTCATCGGCCGTTGTTGCTGTGGATACATGTACAGTATCAACAACTTGTACTGGCCAAGCTGCTCCCTACACGGGAACTACGTGTAGCTCTTCAATGACGTACAAGGCCGATATGGATGCTACGTTTGGTGTAAATCCGTATATCATCGTAGAAAAGTACACTGCCGGCCAATCATGTGCTGCTGATAAGCTTGCAAGCATTTCGACGTATCTGGCAGATGGTAAATGCCACAAGACCAGTTCAGCTACCAGTTATCGTGCAACGAGGAAGGTGGACGGTTCGGCGACCATCCAACCATATTTGGATTCAACGTGTACATCTGCTGACACTCTTGTAACTATTACGGTTGCACAGCTAACAAACTCATGTGCCGCGGACGTCAATGGAATTGCTAATACGAAGGTATACGGTTTTGGTGCTACCCCTCTCTATCTTACTTCCACGATGAATTACGATACGAAAGATGACGCGTGCAAATCGCCTGGAGTTCCATCGTTTGTCAAGTCAGCAATTGTTGCTGTAGATGTGTGTTCGGCTTCAACAGCGTGCACTGGTCAATCTGCTCCATACACAGGAACGACTTGTAGCTCAAAGTTGACGTTTAAGAGTGACATGGATGCTGCGTTCGGTGTGAATCCTTATGTGATTGTGGAGAAATATGACGCTGGACAAGCCTGCGCTGCAGATAAATTGAGTGAAATCTCGACATATTTGGCGGATGGGAAATGCCACAAAATGGGATTGACGACAAGTTACCGCGCGACGCGAAATTTGGATGGCTCAGCTACTATCCAGCCGTTTACAGATGCAACGTGTACTGCCGCTGGTACACTCATGACCATATCGGTCGCGCAACTATCTAACTCGTGCTCCGCGGGTGCTAATGGCTTTGCTGACTTGAAGGTGTTTGGTTCTGGAGTCACTCCGCTCTACTTAACCTCAACAATGAGCTACGATTCGAACGAAAAGTCTTGCACATCAGGAGTTCCATTTCTGGTATCATCGGCTATCGTCGCCGTCGATATTTGCTCGCCAACGACAGCGTGTACTGGCCAAGCTTCATCATATACTGGAAAAAAATGTAGTTCAACGCTGACATTCAAAGCTGATATGGATGCAGCTTTTGGTAAATATCCATATGTGGTTGTCGAACAGTATACTTCTGGTCAGGCTTGTGCCGCTGACAAATTGACTGGCATCACGACTTATCTAGCTGATAACAAATGCTACAAAACGAGTTCAGCTACTAGTTATCGTGCGACTCAAAAAGTCGACGGCACTGCGACTGTTCAACAATATTTGGACGCTTCGTGTGGTAGTGCAGGCACCCTGTTGACCATATCGAATGCTCAGAAAAATACTTGTGCTACTGGTGGAAGCTCTGACTTGAAAGTGTATGGCGGCGGTCTGACACCTCTGTATATTTCGTCCACGGTATTATACGAAACAAACTCTAAATCGTGCAAATCGGGCCTACCGTCGTTAGTCAAGTCAGCTATAGTAGCTGTCGATTCCTGTACGGCATCTACGGCTTGCTTGGGCCAGGCTGTGCCATACACTGGAACTTCGTGCAGCTCCACACTAACGTACAAAGACGATATGGATCTTGCATTTGGCAAGAACCCTTATGTGATAGTTGAGAAGTATGTCGCTGGGCAATCTTGTGCCGTAGACAAACTGTCTGGATTAACGACATATCTAGCGGATGCTAAGTGTCACAAGTCAGATACAGGAAAAAGCTACCGTGCTTCCTTTTCTAAAGATGGCACAGCGTCTATCCAAGAATTTACTGACACTCAATGTAACACTGCGGGGCCATTGCTAAGTGTGACAGCCTCGCAAACGGCAAATTCGTGTACAACGGGCTCAACTGGTATTGCTGATACTAAAGTGTTTTATGGCGGTTCCGCAACGCCTCTTTATCTTTCTTTGACGATGAAGTACGATACGGACTCCGATTCGTGCAAATCCGGTGTTCCATCGTCGGCGACAGCAGCTGTGGTTGCTGTTGATACGTGCGTAGCCACCACCTCGTGTACGGGTCAATCTGCTCCTTACACTGGAACTTCGTGCAGCTCAATGCTGACAATTAAGGATGATATGGACGCTGCGTTTGGCAATTATCCATATGTGTATCTTGAAAAGTACACTGTTGGACAAACGTGTGCTGCTGACAAGTTGACTAGCATCCTCGTGTACTTAGCGGATGGTAAATGTCACAAGACTGACTCGACGACGAGTTATCGCGCGACACGAAATGCCGATGGTTCAGCAATCATTCAATCTTTCACAGACGCTTCATGCGGAGCGACCGGGACAACGTTGACTGTGACAACTGCTCAATTAGCAAACTCATGTGCTGCGGACTCAAATGGTTTCGCCGATATGAAAGTGCGTGGTGCCGGCACGACTCCTCTATACTTGACCTCTTCTGTAAATTACGAAACGAATGGCGACTCATGCAAGTCGGGTCTTCCATCATTGGTAACATCAACTATTGTCGGCGTCGATGCTTGTTCACCGACAACCGTTTGCACCGGACAGGACCCATTTGTTGGAACATCATGTAGTTCAACTCTGACGCACAAGCCAAACATGGCCATTGCGTTTGGCTTAAACCCGTATGTGATCGTAGAGAAATACGTTCCAGGCCAGACATGTAGCCCAGATAAGCTTTCTTCAATCACAACATACTTGGCTGACGGCAAGTGTCATAAAATTGATACGACCAGCAGTTATCGCGCCACGCGAAAAGAGGATGGCTCGGCGTCTGTTCAAGAGTACACAGGTCCTTCTTGTACTACAGCAGGAAATCTGCTAAGTGTATCGGTTGCTCAGTTAGCAAACTCGTGTGCTGCAGATGCGAACGGTTTTGCCGACAAAAAAGTGTATGGTTTCGGTGTAACTCCTCTGTATCTTACGTCGACAATGAACTACGAGACGAATGTTAATTCGTGCAAGTCAGGGCTACCGTCTCTGATTAATATAGCAGTTGGAGCTATCGATGTGTGCGTGCCAACGACCTCTTGTTCGAATTCAGCTGCGCCTTTTACTGGAAAGGCCTGCAGTACATCTTTGACTTATAAGGATGATGTTGCAAACGCTTTCGGTCCAAATCCAAATGTGATTATTGAAAAGTACAATGCTGGGAAAGCTTGTGCTGCAGGGGAGCTGTCTAGCATCGTGGCATACTTGGCGGACGGGAAGTGCCACAAGCTGGACGCGTCGACCAGTTATCGCGCAACTCGAAAGGCTGATGGCTCCGCTTCTGTTCAGGAATACACGGATGCATCATGCAGTACAGCAGGAGCGTTAACGACTATCACGGCTGCGCAGACGGCAAACTCTTGTGCGGCCAATGCGAACGGAATTGTCGATAAAAAGGTGTTTGGTGGCGGTGTCACTCCTTTATACTTTACATCTACAGTAAACTACGAATCAAGTGCAAACTCGTGCAAGTCGGGGCTACCGTCTTTGGTGAATACTGCAATTGGCACTTTGGATGTATGCGTGCCATCCACCACTTGTTTAACTCAAGCTGCCCCGTTTACTGGAAAGTCTTGCAGCTCGTCTCTGTCGTTCAGAGATGATATGGCTGCAACGTTTGGCTCGAATCCTTACGTGATTGTTGAAACGTACAACAGCGGCAAGTCGTGTGCACTAGGAGAGTTGTCTGGCATCTTGACATACTTGGCAGATGGCAAATGCCACAAGACTGACTCGACGACTAGTTACCGTGCCACACGAAAAGCGGATGGATCAGTTACCATTCAGGATTACACTGATGTATCTTGCGGAATCGCAGGAGCGCTGTTGACCGTCACATCTGCTCAGACCGCGAACTCGTGCGCGTCCAATGTCAACGGTATCCCTGATAAAAAAGTATTTGGAGTGGGTACAACGCCGCTGTACTTTACGTCTACAGTCAGCTACGAGGCGAGTACCAATGCATGCTCGTCCGGGACACCATCATATGTCGCTACCGCAGTTTCATTAACTGACGTTTGTACTGCGACTACCGCCTGTACCGGTCAAGCCGCTCCTTTCAAGGGAACGAGTTGTAGCACGGTATCTTCATTTAAGAAGGATATTGACACTTCTTTCGGTTCAAACCCGTATTTGACAGTGAAGAAGTACAATGGTGGGAAAAAGTGTGCAGCTGCAGAGTTGGCAAGCATTGCGACGTATTTGGCTGACGGAAAATGCCATGTTAGTGGCAGCTCTGCGAGCTACGCAGCAACGCGGTCTGCGGATGGATCCGCAGTGGTTCAGCTGTATACCGATTTATTGTGTGGTGTAGCAGGAACACGTTTAACGGTGAGCGCGACCCAGACAGCAAACTCGTGTGCACCAGACATTAATGGCATTGTAGACACAAAGGTGTACGGCAGCGGAATTACTGATACGGTATATTCATCCAAATTACTCTTTGACGCAAACACGAACAACTGTGTGTCAGGAATACCTTCTCAAGTTGTGACGGTAAAAGGAGGTGCAAGCACTTGTTTGACGTCCACAACTTGTTCCGGTCAAGCCGCACCGTATTTAGCTTCGAGTTGTGGCTCCACGCTAACCTACCAGGACGATATGGCTGATGTGTTTGGTGCATATCCATACGTGATTGTAGAGAAATATGCCGCCGGACAACTTTGTGCTACCGACAAGCTGACAGGTATCAAGACGTATCTAGCGGATGGAATGTGCCATAAGACTGATTCGACGTCAAGCTACCGCGCTAATCGGAAAGCGGATGGATCTGCGAGCGTTCAAGAATTCACTGGGGCTGCATGTGGCACTGCAGGCGCAACTTTGACTGTTACGGCTGCACAGACAGCCAACTCGTGCACTGCTGGCAACACTGGCATCGTCGACACGAAAGTTTATGGCGGCGGATCGACTCCGCTATATTTGTCCTCAGTGTCAAACTATGACGTAAATACGAAATCGTGCAAATCGGGGCTACCGTCACTTGTGAAGTCAACTGTGGTTGCTGTGGATACCTGTACAGCGTCAACAAGCTGCACTGGACAGGCTGCCCCATACGCGGGAACGTCATGTAGCTCCACGCTCACTTACAAGGACACTGTTGCTTCTGCATTTGGCACAAATCCTTACGTGATTCTTGAGAAGTATACGTCTGGACAATCTTGTGCTGCTGATGCTTTGGTTAGCATCACGACATATTTGGCGGACGGCAAATGTCACAAAACGGATTCTACTACTAGTTACCGCGCCTCGCGAAAGTCTGATAATTCAGCTATCATTCAGGCATACACGGATGCTACTTGTGGAACAGCTGGGTCTCTTGTGACTATTTCTAAGGTAGATGGGACTTCGCACACCTGCTCTTCTGATACAAAAGCTTACGGCGCCGGCTCAACTCCATTTTTCTTGACTTCTACGGTGAAGTATGAAACGGATTCAAACGCTTGTGTTTCAGGACTTCCCTCTCTTGTCTCGACTGCAGTCGCTAATGTAGATACTGGCTGCACGGCCACCACTGCGTGCACGGGAAGTGCTGCTCCGTATACGGGCACTAGCTGCAGTTCTGTTGCCTCATACCCCAAAGATATGGCCAAAGCATTTGGTACAAGCCCGTATGTGACTGTTGAAAAGTATAGCGCTGGAAAACAGTGTGATGTGACGGAGCTAGAAAGTATCACAACGTATCTGGCAGACGGCAAGTGTCATGTGGCTGGAAGCTCTGCCAGTTATGCAGCGACACGATCTACCGATGGATCAGCATTTATCCAGCAATACACAGACGTAACTTGTGGAGCGTTAGGAGCGAGTTTAACCGTGACTTCCTCGCAGACGGCAAATTCATGTGCTGCAAATGGAAATGGTATCGTTGATATGAAAGTGTATGGATTTGGAAAGACAGCCGTAGTGTATTCATCTTCATTCATGTTCGACTCAAAAGCAGGTGACTGCCCGTCTGGAGTTCCTAGTTTTGTCTCGACAGTGAAAGGGGATTCCACTGCCTGCAGTCCTTCGACGACTTGCTCTGGCTCAGCGGCGCCGTTCTCAGCAACCAAGTGCAGCTCCACGCTTTCGTATAAGAAGGACATGGGTGCTGCGTTCGGCGTTAATCCGCATATTATTGTGGAGAAATACACTGCAGGACAGGCCTGTGCAGCCGATAAGTTGACAAGTATTAAGACATATCTGGCCGACGGCAAATGTCATAAGATTGACGCATCAGCGAGCTATCGTGCGACGCGAAAAGCAGACAATTCTGCAACCATTCAATCTTACACCGATGGTGCGTGTGGAACCAGTGGAACATTATTGACAATAACTGCGGCGCAGTCTACCTCGTGTGCTGCTGATAATAATGGAATTGTCGACACGAAGGTTTATGGCGCCGGCAGTACTCCGCTGTATCTGACTTCTGTCGTGAATTATGAAACGTCGACTAATCTATGCAAGTCAGGGCTGCCGTCATTGGTTAAGTCCTCTGTTGTAAACGTCGATACATGCACGGCGACGGCAGCTTGCACAGGCGTCGCTGTACCGTATTCTGGAACATCGTGTAGCTCTACGCTATCGTATAAGGATGATATGGCTGCTGCATTTGGGTCCAACCCATATGTCATCGTGGAGAAGTACGTCTCTGGTCAGATATGCTCAGCTGACAAGCTGACCGATATTACCACGTATTCAGCCGACGGCAAGTGCCACAAAATCGACTCATCGACCAGTTACCGCGCAACACGAAAATCGGATAATTCAGCAACTGTACAGTCTTACACGGACAATGTGTGTGGAGCGGCAGGAACACTTCTTACTGTGACTGCTGCTCAGACCGCCAATTCGTGTGCTTCGGGTGCCAATGGTATTCCTGACACAAAGGTTTATGGTGGTGGTTCGACCCCGCTGTATCTGACCTCGACAATGACTTACGATACGAAAGCCAACTTGTGTAAATCGGGGCTCCCGGCTCTTGTGTCATCAGCTGTCGTCGCTGTCGACTCTTGTTCGGCTTCGGCAGTCTGTACTGGGCAAGGAGCTCCATACACTGGAACGTCGTGTAGCTCCACGCTGACATACAAGGATGACATGCTTGCTGCATTTGGCCCGAATCCATTTGTGGTGGTCGAGAAGTATAATTCTGGTCAATCATGTGCCGCAGCTGAACTATCATCTCTGACGGCATATATCGCTGACGGCAAGTGCCACAAGACAGAACCAACCAAGAGTTACATCGCAACGCGAACTACAGATGGGGCCGTGACTATTCAATCCTACGTGGACGCAAACTGTGGCGCTGAGGGAGCGAAAGTGCGCGTGACACCCAATACAGCCGGTACATGCTCCTCCGACTCGAAAGTGTACGGCATAGGTGTGACTGGTATGACCTGGTCTACAATCGCTATTTCTGATAGTAAGACGTGCGGGGCGCCAACTCAAATGACTTTGACAAGCCAATTCTCGTGTAAGGACGCCGGTTGCTTTGCTTTCGGAGATCGTTCGATTTCATACACGTGCGCAAGTGATTACATTGTAGCTGCAAAGAAGACATTCGGTACTTCTACTCCATTCATAGTGGTGGAGATTTATGAAGATGGTGGTAATTGCAACGTTATGGAAGGGGTGATGGCGTTTGCTGCTGACACGAAGTGTCACCTCACGATCGACGGTTCATCAAGTTTCACGGTCTCGTTGAGTACGGATGGATCTGGAACTATGCTCACATACGATGATAAGGAATGTAAGGATGGCACACCATTCACGGCTCCATTGACAAAAGAACAATTGTCTTCACACCAGTGCATTCGAAGTACAAAGTACTACGCATTTAATGCCCCTACACCACCAGTTGTGGCTCCAACTACTCAACCACCTGTTGTGCCTACGTCACCTCCTACGGAAGCACCAACACCGCCTCCACCAACAACGAGTCCAACAGGAAGTGGTTCGGCAAACACCGGCAGTACATCTGATGGAGCTAAACTTTCGCCAATCTCTGCACTTTTTGCCACCGCGCTATCGATGCTGGGATGGTTTGCTACCTTTTTGCTATAAGCAAGAAAAACTTTGACAACGGTGAAGATTTCGATCGAAGAATTCTTCTTGACCGCTTGATATGGTCGCTATAGACCTTTTAAGTAGAAATATTAATCTTCTACGTTCATATTAACAAAAAATATTTTTTAAGCTGCATTCGCAAGAATAAAATTTTATTCACAATTCGTTAATTTTAACTCATGAAAATTAAGATTCTGGTTTAAGAGATAAATGAAGTCAAGAGCGCTGTTACTATTTGGCGTCATCAGCGCAGCAAATGCTCTGTATTTTACCATACAGAAGGAGGTAGCTTTCTGTGTGCTTAAGGCAGAGTGGCATGTATTGTTATTGTTTAACGGAATGATTGAATAGGGTCATCGCTGCTTTTTGGTGGATGTACCAAAGGATACGACATTTCGAGCCGAGTACGAGTCGCCAGACACGACAGATGTCATGGTAAGTAAACTAAAGATCATTTTGTGATACTGAGAACGTTTAGTACGATTCAAAAGGTGGCTATCGCTTGTAGAAAACGATTGTGGCCATTTATGCGCCAAAATCAGCTGATGGTAAGGACGAGAAGACGCAAGTTAAGAGTGAACAAACCAATCAAAAGGTACAATCTCCTTGCTTTTCACAGTATTTGCCCATGCGAAGGATAGCATATTTATTGATTTGTTGGTAGGGGTCAATCATGTTCACAGCGACAGAGAATGGCCCTCACTGGGTCTGCATCAGCCTAGACTCGTCCAATTATGCGCTCCCGGATCGTGCTACAATGGTGAGTTATTTCTTGCTTAACTCGATATGAAATGTAGCTGAACTCGTAATTACATTCTAGCGATTTACGTTGAAATTGAGCATGGGCACAAGTCACGAGGAGTATCAAAATCTGGCTAAGAAGAATCAGATGGACGATCTTCAATTGGAGGTTCTAAAACTACGAGATCGCGTTACTTCTATTCAACGCAATCAAGACTATGCTAAGGTATGATTGTTTACAATCACCCATGCGTGTAAATTGATATCTAACTGAGTAATTTCGTGCTGATGTTATTTATTTCTCAGAACAAAAGCATGGGGCTTCATTTAGCGAGAAAAGTGAGCAATAGTCGCGCAACTTGGATGTCAGTGATTCAGGTAATGTGTCCAAGTGTGTACAAAATACATGAATTGTTTCTGATCCGCTATCTCTGCAGATTGTCATCTTGCTTGTCACTGGCTTTTATCAGGCCAAGCACCTTAAAGCGTACTTCCATGTAAAGAAGTTGGTTTAAGATTGTTGATCTAGCAGTAGTTTATGATGCTGACTTTCTGACTGGTCGTCGGAAATCATCTTAATCTATTGTGCTTAATATCTCATTCTCATAGCAATACGTAACGTCACTCAAGATGCTAAGATTTTCACCCTGCGAAATATCGATTCTCGATGTTTTGTGTCCTTTACTTAAAGTTAGAAAAATAAAAAAGGTAAGACATCCGAAAAAAAACAGTCTTTGTTGACGCAAATTATAGGCTAAACTCAATAAAACACACAAAGTCATTCAGTAACCAGTTTACGTGCGCAATTTCTGGTTTGGCCCCTTAGCTGATCGCGACAGTGGAATGCAGGCCTTGTACACTTGCCACGAATACTTTTCCTTGAGAAAACGAACACCAAGCCAATACCAACGCAACAGACAATTATCCTTGCAGGACGAGTAATCGATAGTATAGTCTTTGCCAGGAAACTTTTCGTGGCAGTTGCTCGCGCTTAAAACTCTAGTATTGTTGAGCCACACTTCACACGGACCATCGTGTGTGTATCCAGTAGAGCGCATAGCATTGTTAGCGGGAATGGGCTGGGGCGTACCATTGGGATCTGTGAATCCGCATGCTGGATCAGCACCTTTGACTACGGTGTACTTTGCGTTATCCATGAAGTCACGAAGAGTCTTGAAATGGTTTTGTTTGAAATAAGCTTGAGCGTCGCCAGTAGTCTTAAAATTTTGATTCTCAAGAAAGGCGAGCGGGTTGTATCTGGTGTCTTTATCATTCGTCTTCCATTGGGGTTCTGGAAGCAATACGATCTGATGTGCAGCAACATTGGGGGCCAAGAGGACGACGGATGACATGGTCGATACAACAGCAAGCGTACTAATAGCTGACGATACCATTGGAGAAGGCGAGTATTGCAAGTGAATTAGAGGCAGTAAAATGAAGAATGAAATTAAAGTGTTAGCGAATGCTTCCGAGTGATAAATCGATTCGAAAGAACACTCTACGTTCTGGCCTATACTTTTCGTTCCGGATGACATTTGTGATCAAGGTCTTTCATTAATGCGACAGCACGATTTTCAAGTAAAAACACGTATCCCAATGGTTCTTTGTGTCAGGCACCATTAGCAAATGGTCATGTCATTTTATAGCGAGCATATGCAAGATAGAATTCGAGTCTATAGCTTAGAAGACTTATACGAAAGTGCCAGATGTTGATGTCAGATTTAGCAGTGCCTATTAAGCACTGGATAAGAATCGGCTGTTTTAATGTGTAGAATCTTTTATGGAAACAGTTGGTGTCGCAGAAACCGTTTGGTAGATCATTATATAGAGAAGTCGATAGAGTAAATCTTGTGTCCCATTACCTTCTACACAATGTGTTGGCTGCACCGCATCAACTTTTCTATGGTCAGTTTTTTTAATTATCTACTTCTTAAAAAAATTTGGGAAGATGTTTCTCAGTTATGTTGATAAGTAAAATGATTTTGTGAAAGAATACAACATGTCACTGAAACAAGTTATAACATCAGTCTCATGGTATATCTAACACAATTTACTAAGATATTTCGAAAAAACAAATTATTGCGATTGTTAAATACTATGTCAAAGATGCGTCAGTAAGAATGACAGCAATTCTGGCGAAGTCTCTTATAATGGTGTACGTTTGGCTTTGGTCTGAGCACAATTTCGTGAGTACTTATATTCCAGCTTTGTGACTTACAAACATATTCTCATAAAAATCGTTTCATGTATATGAAACACATGTAGTAAATCACATATCTTTGAGCGTTCCTTCATACATTACATCAGAAATGATTTAAGTATCTCAAAATTACTAAACAAAGGCCGGTCAAAATCAACGTACTTGACACGACCCATTGAGACCGCATAAGCTTTCCCATAATGACGCAAGATTATTACATTATCTACATGAGTCGATGACACTTCAGAAAGAGACATTAATATCTAGCACGGCGACCGACAATTAATCTTATTTGCTTAGATCGTTTCGGACCTCAATCCATATAGGCTTCAGCTTCAACCTTAATAATCCCAAATCGTTTAATTCAGCTACCACTGTCGATATCACCGGAGGGCAAGCGCCAAAATTGCAACGCCTGTGATCTATGCGATCTGTCGTATGTTTTTCACTTTGAGTGTGACAGTCTTCTAAGCAATCGAGATGAACGATACAACTAGACTACTTTCCAAACATTTATGATGAGTATTACTACGATGGAGAGTGATATTTTTGGAACCGAATACTGCGCGACACTTCAATATCACAGCTGAGTCATCCACAGTGAGCAGCGTGACCATTTCAATGCTTTATGGATCTGCAAAATGCCCTCATGAGTGGAATTATAAATTATCCTTCTTCACCAGTGGATAGCTACGTATCATTTGCTGAGCACATTGATGGGATACATGCAAGAAATTGCAAAGGTGTGAAATCGCCGGTTGGTGTTGATGATACCGGAAAGGAGCTTACTCCTTATCCGTAATGAGAAAGTCTATAATTGAACATATTCGGAAATTAGGAGTTATCTAAAAGTTTCGAAGTCCCTGAAATCTATTTTCTTCCAGCTCAAAGAAATACCGTGACATTCTACAGGGGACCCATATCAATGGCTCTAACAAAGAAAACATATGCTCTCGTGCACTGCTCAGATCGGAAAGAGCCAAATAAGGGCCCACATCATGGCCCACAGTGAGCTTTCTCCATTAGCTTGGAAGTCTACCTCATCTATTGAGCCCCAACACCCTTCATGTTCGTGTCTCAGAGATCAGGGAGGGCCCCAAATTGCCACTGTAGTTTGCGCTATGCTTGTGCAAGTAGTCGACCAGGCCAAGCCACTTCTGTGAGTGTCTTTAGTGTAGCGGCGGCGGCCAAGCCACATAAGTTACTTCCTTTGAAGTGATAATACCGGTCAATCTGCTATGTAGTTGGTATTTGCGTAACTTCTACGAAACTCATGCTATTCAGGGAAGCGTCCCATGATCGTGGTCGCGGTTGCCCCGAAGACAGAATTGTTCACTTTGACAAGTATCTCATTACCGCGCATGCACTCAAAACAGCTCTTGAATGTTCCATATGAATGTTAATAATATCAAGTAATTTAGTTTGTGCTCGCTTGATTATGGGCAAAAGTATCGTCCAATTAGATCTCTGACAATGCGAGATGTGGCTTCAAGAACAGCGTGGCCAGAGGACCAAATGGTGCTGGGCATATCCAGCAGCTTCCCTAGCGGTCCTCTCGATAAATAGTAGCTCGTTTCGACCCATCGAACATGCGGTATATATTCCCCCCTACTATACTGTTTGGCGGCAAATTTTTTCGAGGAGCTTAAAATTGTTCGGAAATTCCTGTGGGTACTAATGGGTAAAAATCGTTATCACATTCGATTATCGCCAGCTTATAGCGCAGAGAAACTACATAATTTACGATGATCGGCTCAGAACAATTTGTACTCAAACATAATTTGTAACAATACGAACAGTAAAACTGTTTCCACAGTAATTAGCAACATATCCAGATGGTCATTTAATTTGCCAAGCATATATTTGCGATAAGACGCGCTTGTCAAATACAAAAGCCTACGGGCATGCTTCAGCGCCTATAGCCAGCGTGACGATCAGGCGCTTCGCTGGCAATCTTCTTATGCGACTTTCATACATGGCCATCACAAAAACGCTTTCGGTGGTTCCTCTTTGTACACCGAAAATAGCTCATATTGCTACTGTCAGAGCCAGAGTCACAGCCACCGGTGAAAATACAGCAAAAGTTTATGAAGACAATTTCTTTGCTTTAATGGCATATCTGTGGCAATGGTCTTGGACTGTCCTTCACAATTCATGGGCAGATTTTTAAAGGTGCTTAAGGGAATTGTCAACTGCGGATTATCTTAGCACAAATAGCTAAGCAGAGTGCGGTAGGGGATATACACCGAAACAAATGCACGAGGCGATCATAGTGCTAGTTGGATATGCTTACGCTCACCGAACGTACCCTGAACAAAGCAATTTATATCTTCACTGACGTTTTGCCATTCTTCGTAATCGGTCTTCCAAATCTCCCGTCTTCCCGGTGCCTCTACAAAATATTTAGGGACTTTATTGGCGGAAAAACAAATTTATTTTGCTGTCACTTGCAGCAACATTCATTCGAAAAAGATCGAGCATCATTTGCCAGTTGTGAAAGGAATGTGTGCTGAATCAACAAGCGGATGCTAAGCCAATAAATGTATTTGGCGTTAATTGTAGGTGATTGATTAATTACGCATGTAGTGACCGCGGTCCTCGATACATTATTGGGCTATTGCTGAGTAAGGCTTGAGTCGCACTTTTAAATTTTCTCATCTCTTGCCAGGGCCAGCTGTATTCTATGTATACTGACTATAACCATAGTGGGGCATCGCATCCTCCACGAGCTACCCTGACGTAGAGTGGACTGTAAAGACATAGTGAAGTCTTGACTAATCCTTAAAGATGACACCCCGTCCTCCAGCTGATGTCCGATTTTGAACCGCTTGGAAGGCCTGTAGCCAATCGATCTGAACGCGGTCAATGAAAATAAACCTGATATGCGATCGGCATTAAGTATGGACGTACGTTAAAAGAGCCAACGTGCTCCCTTGCGTCCCGCCTCGATTTTGACGTTGGGCTTTGAGCTCTGATAAGTCAAGCATTAAGTGACGATCTAATCAGGTATTGTAAATCGTGTTGTGATTCCAAAATTGGAGAGACGATGAGCCTTTGTCGCCCAGAGCCATAATTCCGCGGTACTTCGAATCCGCAGAACCATAGGTAAAAAACCGACTGCCCTCACCATCTCCATCAATTTATAATCGTACAGCTGAGATTATATGATCTACAGGGTTATAATCTTCACGAAATCAGTTAAGCGTAAGCACATACTCTTGAAGTAGGCTGACGGTCCACACCACACCGATTTGAGGGCTACGCCGTGGCGCGACGAACGGCATTAACTTACGCTAAATATTAGCAAAATCTCTTGGCTAATATTCAAGAGAAAACTTTCCTTTTATTTTCCCCCAAGGCCACTGTGACCACCAGTCTCAGTTAGATATACAGTCGTATCCCCAAGAAACGAGAAAATCAGCCGCGCGATAGTCGAAACTACAAGAGGAAAAAATCGTTTTATGAGGCGACAAACGGAGATGGAGCTGATGACATGCCCCTGCTTGCAAATAAACTTTATGTGAGCGTTCAAGACTACGGTGTGACTTCAAAATACTTTAACTTCAATTTTAACCAAAGTGGTTCAGTCTCAAGCCTCAAAATAGATTTTTCAAGCAAAATTGCGTGTTGCTGTTGTTAATCTAAAAGCACCGTATCAAATGTTACAATTTTCAGCTAAAAAACGAAGCATATAATTTGTCCTCGCGTTACTAAGGTATATTGCGTTCTTTTTAGCTGATACGATGGGACGAATACTGCCAATAGCAAATAAACGGTCACGCAAGTCTGCTTACAGATGCGTTGTAGTGAGTTGAAGATGTACTTCATGATGCTTGACCTCATGATATTTTACTCTGTTAAAATTGAAAAGAAGACACATGGATGCGCAGCTAGTCAGGTTTAAGAAATAAATTGTTTGATAATAAATGCTCTTATTGCTTAACCCGCCAGATTTTGGTATTGCGCAAAACGCACGGCATTTGGTGTGGCTGACTCGACTGCACCACCACATTTGAGCGTGGTAGATTATATAACATCTACTTGCAACTGACAGTTTCCTGTCCTGCCAGAATTTTATCTCATTTACTCGGGAGTCGACGACGCCTGTCTCCACAATGACTTTACCGAGAATTCCAAACCAAAGCAGTCTTTTTTTATCCTTGTAGCCTGCAACATTTGTTGCTTTCTTCCATCTTTATCATGGCTAACCCTCTTCCGCTAAATGCTATCAATGTCCGTTTTACTAGGTATATTCCTCGATCGCAGCTCACAGCATCGCTTATCTTTTTATATAAGACAATCTCATGTCCTATACTCAAGGTGTTGCAGCTTTGTTCCTACGCCAAGCGCATTCGCTCTCTAAAAAGGGTCAAGTTATTGATCCTCAAAATTTCACCATGAGAGAAGTGGTGACCGTTATATCTCTTACTTCCGATTAACCCATCGCTCGATGTGTATTCCAGCTTTATCAATCTTGGGATGAGGCCGTCAGTTTGACAGCGACAAAAAGCGTTCCATACTAACAAAAGCATGATATTTGATTTTGAAGCTCAGAAGAGTTTTCGGCACCACGACCGCTGTCCCGTCGCGAGACGCACGAATATAGTGTCCGTAGTTGACATAGTCTATTCCATTGTACATATCCTTTTGAAATCATAAGAAAAGTGACGTACATAGTTGCGCGACTTACCAAAATCCTTCATAGCTATGGAGGATTTTAGTAACACATAGCCCAGTGCGTTGTTATCAACAAGCAATTGCCCGGGATGAAAAGCCAATTTCTTTCTGAATGCATCGTTTCTCGTAGATGTGAGTGCCATTGACCTAGACTTCCACGAGTTACGATCGAGCACAGTTCTTTGGCAGTCGATGTTCTGCGCCTTATGGGCATTGACATTTTCCAAAGCAGGGTTGGTTGGTGGCTACATATAGGTGTTTTTAAATTAAGAGTGAAGGATAAATTTGAGCGTAACTTTCTGGTATTCCAGTATATGAAGCACTTGCGAATATTAAGGCGATTCTAATTTGTCGAAAGATAAAGTCAGCTTGACTTAGATTCAATAACGCTAGTGCGCTCACAAAGTCCTACCTCCCACAATCCAACTGATCCTTGCGAAGTGTGGCCTCCATTCAATTCTGGGCTTATCACATTCACTGAAATCTATAAATGTACGCGAGGATCAAGGTGCAGCTCTCAAATCGTAAATGTCGTCCAACAAGTTTTTTTCTACCGTTGACCGATAAAAGATAGCTTTGGTTGCACGCGGTAAGCCTGATTAGGTGATGCAAATATCTTTCACATTTTTCACGGGTGTGCTTCGCGAGTTGGAAATGCTTCGTTGCGGAGAGAACGCATGTCAGTGCTCATTCTTCTCGCGCGATACTTTGTCTTAGTGTGTCATGCTGTTGTTATGTCACGAGTAGAAACGCATCCACGTCCATTTCAGACTCTCGAAACAGGCGCTTATAAGGCGTATTTTTGTAAGATAGGTGGAAATTAGAGATAGCGGGTCACTTCCCTGTCGTCCGATCGTCCATTGCCAATAGCAGCCAGTCGATGTTTACGGCTCCTGCGAATACTTTTCTAGAAACGAATCTCGTATAATTGATATGTCATTGAAGATTGTGCTATCGATTGGATCAGTTTAGCGACAACTGAGCTATAACGTGAAAGCCGTTTAAGCAGTATTTAGCTGCACCGACACGACAGCCTTACTTTACAGCTAAATTTATAGCATTCACGATAGTCTGTGTGTTGCATTACTTACCGCACAGTATGTTGTCTTCAGAGAAAGAGGCTGCTGACATAATGACGATCAAAGAGAAATTTTACGACCTTTGCTCAAAGATTCCTAGAACATCAAACGATGGTCATCATGAAAGATTGAAAGAAAATTGTTACACACATTTGTCATCATAAACATTGGTCGAAAAACGTCAAATTCCCGCTCATACAACAGCGTTAAAGAATGATTTGCGCTTGCATTTATATAATTTAGTCATTTACCAGGCCATATATTATTTTTTGCAATAGGTCTGACCATGGATTGTGCTGCAGATTATATAAATGAAAGACCCTATATTTTTCCCTGAAACCCGCCGCAGTTTCAAGAACTTTTGAGCACGTACTCATCGTGTGCACATGCCAAATGATGATATGGCTGGGCAGCCATATCATCATTTCAGAATTGCATCGCCGTCAGGTGCCTGACGACACAGTGTAGATTTTGCCCATTTTACATCGTAAGGTTTCTTGGAGAGGTAGCATTTTGTATGGATTCAATACTTGCTTTGTCTTTTAAAAACATGAGATTATTGAACACAGACATGTCAATGCCTGACGTTAACAATGTTTAAATCAACAAATTTAGGTTGATCAATCTGCTGCATTCCAAGTTGTATTACACGGCCTAAAGGCATCGAAAAATCAAAATTGTCCTGCGTTCAAAATCACTCAATGTATTGATCGCAAAGAAAAGTAAACCTAGCTGACTCGTTAGCGGCCATCTGTGCAATTTACAAAGCTTACAACGGTGTATTAAGTCAATGTCTGCACTCACATCATACGCAATATCCTCATCAGCCCTGTTGTTGAAACCCAAGTCCTGTACAGTGTGAACATTGTTCACAATAAGAAGTATTGAATCGATCGGAAGTTTAAGTTGATGCGGTGAAACTGCGTTGTGCAGCCGTTTACGTAGCCATTAAAAAATTTGAACGTGCTTTTGCCGGTACAAAGATGATTTTGGGAATATTTTTATTTTGATCATCGCTTAGTTGACTTGCATATACTTTTTTCTTATCGCCGGCTGCTTCACAAGAAAGGCTACAAAAATGCCTGGAAGAGATGAGGTCGAGCTCAAAGATTGATCTGACCTTGACATTAACGTTGTCTTCATAGAAGTTGAGTAGAAATTTAAATTTGATCTGACATGCAACCGACAAAAATTCTTTTGTATCATGTATGTAGACAGTCAAAGCCTGACCAGAAAAGATGACTAGATGCTGGTTAAAAGACGGTCCTCACACCAGAGTTGCCATCTTCAGGGCGAATAGTTGAACATTAAGCTTATCAAGTTAGACGAGCTCTCATGCGTTGTGCAATTTTCGAGCTCCAAGCATTGACCAAATACAGTTATTTTATTGTTTCCACTTAAAGTTTACGATCACCGAGCGTTTTATAGCCAATGAAGAGCAGCACAGTACTATTGTTGATCCGAAATTATTGCTTTCTTACTCTAGAGTATAAATTTGATCGAATGAGCGATCGATCAATTCGCGTCGTGGTGGCCGCCTTAGAATCCACAGGTGGCATTGGCTTTCTCGGAAAGATCCCATGGCATCTACCTTCCGACTTAAAATTCTTTCGTACACTAACTACAGCATCTTTGGATTCTTCAATACAACATGCGGTTATCATGGGACGCAAGACGTGGGAATCGTTGCCGGATAAAGTTCGACCCATGCCCAAGCGTTATAATGTGATATTAACACGTGATACGTCGTACCGTCAAAAGCAGCAAATCCCTGATACTGTAGGCATCGCTGCGACGTTTCAAGATGCGTTGAAACTCGTGCAGCAGCAAGGTGACAAAGTGGACCAAGTTTTTGTTGTTGGAGGAGAAGCTCTTTATGCCGAAGCACTGAGCTATTCAGGCTGCAGTAAGGTCTACTTTACAAGAGTCAAGGGTCAGATGGAGTGTGACGCTTTTTTTCCACTGGAGCAACTCAAGCAGAATTTTCAAGTGACGAAAGAGTCTGAGATAATGGAGGAGAATGGTATGCAGTTCCAATTTGTTGAGTGGGTGAGAAAATCTGAGAATATAGAAGAAGTCGAGAAAATGTTATCGGTGGAGAATACGACGCCGCATGAGGAAATGCAGTATTTGAACTTGATCCAACAGATCCTTTCGCAAGGAGCTAAGCGTGAAGACCGTACAGGCACGGGTACGCTGTCAATATTTGGAGCTCAAATGAGGTTTAGCTTAAGAAAAAATGTATTTCCATTGCTGACTACCAAAAGGGTATTCTGGCGAGGTGTAGCGGAGGAGCTATTGTGGTTTATTAGTGGAGACACAAATGCTCAAACGCTGCAGCAAAAGGATATTCACATATGGGATGGCAATGGATCTCGTGAGTATCTAGATAGCCGAGGTCTCCAGACTCGAGAAGTAGGAGATCTTGGACCGGTTTATGGCTTTCAATGGCGTCATTTTGGAGCTAAATATACGAACATGCATGCGGATTATACTGGTCAAGGTGTTGATCAGCTTGAAGAGGTTATTCAAAAGCTACGTAAGAGTCCAACAGACCGTCGCATTATCCTGTCGGCGTGGAACCCTGCAGACCTCAACGAAATGGCATTACCACCTTGCCACATGTTTTGCCAATTTTATGTAGCAAATGGAGAGCTGTCATGTCAGATGTACCAACGCTCGGCCGACATGGGGCTTGGCGTGCCATTTAATATTGCCAGCTACGCGCTGCTGACGCGTCTTGTTGCTCAAGTGACTGGATTAGAACCTGGTGAATTTATCCACGTCATTGGCGATGCGCATATCTATCTAAATCACGTCGAGCCACTACAAAAGCAATTGACGCGTACGCCACGTCCATTTCCAACGCTGCACATTAATCCTTTGAAGACGTCAAGCATTGATGACTTCAAGTTTGAAGATTTTGACGTTCGCGATTATTGTCCACATGGCGCAATCAAAATGGCAATGTCAGTTTGAATCGAATTTTCAAATTTGAAAGTCAAGCTGAATGAAATTTCTAGTTCACTAACTCAAAATTGCTCCTTCTATCATAAGAATTGTCAATGACAGTTTATAATTTACCTTTACTGCAAGGAAAGGTGCAATGTAATGAGTACCTGAGAACTACGCGTTATAAGTTAGTTTCGCCAAACGTGGTAACGCTAGTAAAGTCATTGCAATTACTGGACTGGCCAGCAACAGTTTGCGGTTCCAGCCTGAAACGCAGTGTATGTAACGCAGCCGAACAGAGTCGAGTTTATTAAATTATTAGGTTGAAACTGAGCAAAGACAAACTAGCGACGACAGGCAAGGCATGTCGCGACTTCATCACGCCCACAACGGGAGTTTCACCTTCGTTTCAGGTGTGAAAGGCCGAACACCTCTGTTTTTGAAAAGACCAGATGACATAACCTTGTAGATTTAATAAACGTGGAACTCGTTCAGCGGTTCAAATATGATCTACAACACATCATGTACTCATAAACTCGATATATATCAGGTATTTACTGTGCATGCATAATTACTATATTGAGAGAGAGAGATTGACCGTTGAACTTGCCTTCTCAGCTGGGTATACAAGTGATCATACAAAGCGAATTGCGCACCCCTTCGAGCAAAAACGTATCCATCGAAGCGAGCGCTCATTCGTTGATATTGTCGGAAACCGCCGTCTAAGGTTCCACTCTTCGATCTTGTGGAGCCGCGAGCGAAACTCAACACAGTCTTAAACTTGGGACGCGACACAGTTGTCCATCTGGCAGTCACAAAACGCCCTCGCAGGACCCAAGCCACTCGCTTCAACGCTCGTTCAACGCCTGAGCAACGGCTGCACTTAATATGAACCGCAAGTTGGAGCTTATGGAACTAGACGATTGTCCTCGAAGCAATAACGGAAGCCCGAGTTTGACACTTGACCTGCTAGATCGCTCGGATTCGGGTAATTGTAACAACCAAGCAAATGACATTCCTCTTTTAGAGGTGGCTCATAATCCAGACGTACGTGGTGTGTTATATCCAATTAAAAAAGATTGCTTACCTATATGCATTTTATATCATTAATAGTTGAACTACTTGCGAGCAACAGCTGCACATGAAGAGAGCAGTACGACTAGTAGCAGATGTGGGAGTTCCTTTGGCGATGATGACGATGATAATAATGGTGATTTAAAGACAGTGCGTCGGAAGAACGACTCGAACAGCAAGCGTCCGTGGACACGAGAAGAGAACGAAAAACTCATGCAGTTGGTTAAACAGTACGGGGCCAAGCGCTGGTCACTTATTGCCATGCACCTACCAGGTCGCGTTGGTAAGCAATGTCGAGAGAGATGGCATAATCATTTGAATCCGTTAGTTCGCAAGGACGCGTGGACGGCTGAAGAGGATTACGTTATTTTTGAATGCCACAAGAATGTCGGTAACCAGTGGGCTGAGATTTCTAAAATGTTACCGGGCAGAACAGATAATGCAATCAAGAATAGGTATTACTCCACCATGCGCCGTATGCAGAGACAGTCAATTCGGAAGAAAGGTCCATTACGTGAAGGCAAGAGTATTCGCGTGGCGTCTGTGACGTCATCTCCAGTGCAAAATGTTAGTAATCAGGTGGTATCTGCACCCATGCAGCGATCTCTAAACAGTATGCAGACTCAAATGTCACCACAACCGCAGTTCTCACAGCGAGGAGTTAATTTTCACAATTCTTTTCAAAAGTTATTTACAGAGAGTCCGGGAAGTGTTTCACGCGTGAGTCAACTCGTTTTGCAGAGGTTGACAAAATTTAAATGTACACTCACAGTTACGCTTTGTCGTTTTGTTGTAGACTGACAATAATGCAATGATGGACTTCGAGCGAGCCAACATGATGGCATCCTCTCTTCGACAACCAACGATGGTTTATCCGCTGAATGGAGGTGGTTATTCGAATAATGGACTTAATTCGGATTTTAGTCGTCCTCTGTCCATGACATCATCTCAATGCTCGGTATCCTCGGATGATATGATTCAAAATAATCATAACGAAACTTTCGACTATGTTCCCATGCAAGCATCAATCCAACGGTTACGGTCGTCGAACCCCGGAATGTGTTCTCCTCCTTCAACATCAATTAATATGATGAATGCACCGTATGGCTCGCCTGCAAGCCACATGCAACAGTCAAACAACTTCATGATGGCAGGCAATCTGTACGCGAATAACAACATGCGCGGTTCAATGTATTCAGGGATGTCCAGTTCAGGATCTGCTCAGCCATATCGTCCAGTGGATGCATCTATTGTGAATCTTTCGCATAAACGTGTTCTCGATGTCCAAAGTTCTCAACGGGAACTGTGGAAAAACGACAGCCCTGTATCCGTGACAGCACCCATTTTTCGAGGCACGCCATTACAGCAAAATCAAGTTAGTGAACCGATGGCATTACAGCAGTCTAAACCAGTTACAATGCCTCTGTATAGACAAGGTCCGCACATGGGCAACTTTGGCGGCATGGAGCAAGTTTGGACGGATGCGTCTTATCTATGATTGTTTAGAACCTAAAGATGGTTTGGTACCATAGACTGCACGATACATTTTTATCATTATTGAGAGGCGATTGTAGCGTTTTATTTCATAACATAAAATAATTTGTCGCTTCCACCTTGGACGACTTGAAAGCACTCGAAATATCAAAGAGGCAAATGCATAACGGAATGTTGAATTTTAACTATTGCACATCCGTACGATCAAGAGATTTTCAAGGTAGAAATCGGTTCAGCGACTTTAAGGTACTCGACTATGATAGGCACATC